CAGCATGCAAGTTGTTCATAAACCGTGAACTTATTTTCTTTGTGAGTTGATTGATGTGGTTTATTGCAGTTTCTTGAATTGGTGCGACTTATCTGAATATAAACATAATGAAAGCATTTGACTTCTCATTTTTAACTTGGATATAAACATAGATGAATATAAACATCATAACAACTGAACCAGAACAAATAACCGTAATCAATTTGAACATTCGTTTACAACATGAATAAATCTGCTGCTGGGTTTTTGTTTCATGGTTATTTTGATCAATATTCTTCCATGTTGAATTTTGACTGTATCTAAGAGATATTTATTTTGAATGCATGGTAGAGAGCTTATTTTTTGTTTCATGGCTTTCACATGAAAAAATCAGCTGCTGGATTTTTTTTGGACAAAGCCCAAACATGTTTCTTGATTGTACATGTTTCTTGACTGCTGGATTTCTGCTGAAAGTGTGTTGCTGGATTGTACAAACTGTAGCCTTGAAAACATATGAAAGCTTCAATCATATTGTTTTTCACGGTTAGGTTACAAAACATCCATCAGCTATTATTCATTGCTGACCATATACAAGTGGGGATTCTAAGAATGACACAAGAAACATGTCTTTATATGACCGCAACAACTACAGCAACTCACGAGCAGCCTCAACCCAAGCCTTGTAGATGTCATCTAAAAAGAGAACAAAATGCACCTGCAAGCAGGAAAAAAGCCATGTTATTCACTTTCATTTAACAAGTAACATTTGTAAAATCCCACTGAAGAAAAAATAACCAACAAAAAGAATCAAGGCAAAAAAATCATAAATATGAACAACTTTAGGTTAATTATTTATAACTAAAACATGATGATAAGCTAATGCATGTGATTTGCAACGGGGAGAAAATCTTATGGATGCCATTTCTTCAAGCCACATTGGACTGCCAACTATTATAGTTACTTAACTCAGTTAACTTTTCACTTGAAGGAGAATAATAGAACACTGGTCCTGTATCCAACAATAGAACCCTTGTTGCAAAGTAATAACCATATATATGTCACTTGGCAGGGAGTGTTGGTTTGGAAGAGGAAATTACTTAGCAAGAGATTTATCAGAATGACAAAAAAGAGCATGCATCTGAAAGATTCATTCGCACAAGAATCATTAAATCATTGTGAAGGATACATGTCATCTGCTCATCCTCAATTTGTGCTTTCATTAAGGTTTCTTTAAGCAGCCCAAACGGATCCTGAGCTCGAGCGCAGAAAATCAGCCTAAATTGAAATTTTCAATTTAGTAACTTAAACCCTCAAATCACCGGATAAAAAACCCTGAGACCAAATATTCACAAAAAGCAATAAATTTTCTCGAGTTTGCAAAGAAATAAACACTTACCGATAACAATTTGGCTTCCAGTGGTGAGGTATCAAGTTATGAAACTCAACAACCAAGCAATTTAAGGATTTTTATATTTATAACATTACTTTTTTTCTCCAAGTATGATTCAGTTTCTAAAATATGAAAACAGAAATAACAAACAACAAAACCATATAAAAATATTGCCAGTGAAATAAAAAATAATAGCTCCATTCATTTTCAGATAGCATCTAATTCCCAAAAATAAAGTAGCCCCATGAATCAACAACATACACAAAAACGGCCAGGTTAAAGAAATAATTCTAGGCTAAGATGGATACTACCTCCTAGATGGAGCAATTCTTTGGAGTTTCTTTACTCCCATCCTTGCTGAAAATCTGTCCGGAGCAAGTTGACCATCAAAGCTTACATTCAATAGATCTTCGAGAATGAGCAGAGGGGGACGAGCAGATGGCTATTGATTTCGGCGGCTAACGAGGGCACGAGGGAGGACGAGGGAGCGCAGAGGGGGAGAAATGAGCAGAGGGGGAGGGTCTTCGACGGGGCTTCGGCGTCGGCGAATGAGAGGATCGTGCACCCCGATTAGACCTCAAGTTGTTATTTCTTGCCATGGCCGAAATAATCAAGACTTGAAAACAGGAAAGTAAGAGAGAATTGTAACAATGGAGGAAGAGAGGAGTTAGGAAAAAGAAGAAGAGAGCTCAGAGTTTAGGAGAAAGAAAAATTCTCATTCATTTCATATCATTACAGTTTTCTTTCTCCCCTTTTATATCCGCTCAAGACAAAAGAAATACAAAAACGTGCACAAAACGTGCACGGTTGTAACCAACTAACAAACAACAGAATTAACCGTCTCTAACTGTTGTAACCAACTCCAACATTTATTACAATTGTCTGTTATTGTTTCTGAGCTAACAAATGTGCACAAGAGCCCTTCGAGTTGGAATCATTCCAGTTCTTCCCCAATGTGCACATTCTTCAGCCTCTGTCTAATTCTCAGGTTCAATTTGAGTTCCTGTTGGCCAGCTTCCAATGCAATCCTCAACTGTTCCTGACAATTCCCCACCCCTTAAATTTGACCTTGCCTCAAGGTCAAATGTAGGAAACCGTTTCACAAGATCCCAATAATTCTCCCAAGTAGAATCCAATTGGGATCGCTGCTTCCATTTGATCAATACCTGAGGAATCAACATTCTTCCTTTCACAACTGTGCGCCTATCCACAATCTTTTCTGGTTCATCAACCAACTCAGTAGTGTAATTAGGAAAATCAGAGTGGAGTACTACACCAGAGCCAATTCTCTTTTTAAGCTGGGACACATGGAAGACTGGATGAATCTTTGCATGGCTTGGAAGTTCCAATCTGTAGGCAACTTCACCAATCTTTTCCAGCACTTTGTAAGGACCATAGTATTTTGGCGAAAGCTTATGAGTTTTGTAAGATGAGACACTGAGTTGTCTGTAAGGTTGTAGCTTAAGGAATACCCAATCTCCAACCTCAAAACTCCTGAAGCTTCTGTGTCTGTCAGCAAATCTTTTCATCTGTTCTGCTGCCTTCTTTAAACTATCTTTAAGAAATTTTAAAGCTACATCTCTAGAAAAAAGAGCTTCATCCACTGATTCAACTCTACAGCTTTTAGGAATATAAGAGAGTAATGAGGGAGGAGGTCTACCATACACAGCTTCAAAAGGGGTAGAATTTGTAGACACTCTCCAAGTAGTATTAAACCAGAATTCAGCCAATGGAAGCCATTTACACCACTCTTTAGGCTTATGGCAACAAAAACATCTCAAATAAGCTTCCAGGCTCTTGTTAGTTACCTCAGTTTGCCCATCCGTCTGAGGGTGATATGCTGAGCTGAATTTAAGCTTGCTCCCTTGCAGTTTGAACAACTCTTTCCAAAACAAACTAGTAAACAAGGGATCTCTGTCACTGATAATAGATCTAGGCATGCCATGAAGTTTGAACACTCCATCAAAAAATACCTTTGCAACAGATTGAGCAGTATAAGGATAGGTTAAAGCAAAGAAATGAGCATACTTTGATAGTCTATCAACCACCACAAATATAACTGACTGTGTATCACTCTTGGGCAGATGTGTGATGAAATCCATTGACAAGTCCTCCCACACATATTCTGGAATAGGTAGGGGTTGTAAAAGTCCTGGGGAAGCTACATTTTCCCCTTTTGCTCTCTGGCATACATCACAAGCCTGTACATAATTCTGAACATCCTTCCTCATGCCCTTCCAATAAAAAACCCTCCTCAACCTGTGTAAGGTTCTAACAATACCAGAATGTCCAGCAGTAGGACTGTCATGATGTTCTTGTAATAAGGAATTTTTAAGCTTTGTGCAGTGGGACTAACCAAAATTTTACCTTTGTAGTAGTAAATACCTTCCCTTGTAAGATATTCTCCAGTAGCTTCTGATTCTTGTTGTAGTCTTAACTCTAGCTCTTTGTAGAAAGGGTCAGTCAGATTCATTTGTTTGATATCTTCTAACCAGTTACTCCTGACAAAAGAAATTGCTGAAACTTCTGCATCATTCTCAACAACCTCATATACCCTTGATAATCCATCAGCAGCTTTGTTCATCCTTCCAGGTTTGTATTCCACAATATAATCATATCCATGCAACTTGGCCAACCATTTGTTTTGAATACCTGTATGTATTCTTTGTTCAAGTATATATTTAAGACTTTGATGATCAGTCCTTATCACAAAACTCCTTCCTAACAAGTACTGTTGCCATCTCTTTGTAGAAAGAATTATAGCTAACAGTTCCTTTTCATATGTTGATAGAGTAGCATTTTTTCCCTTTAAAGCAAAGCTGAAATATGCAATAGGTTTTTCTCTTTGCATTAATACTGCCCCAACTCCTGTGCCTGATGCATCACATTCTATGACAAAATTGATGTTAAAGTCAGGCATAGCCAAAACTGGAGAATTGGTGAGGGCAATTTTAAGAGAATTGAAAGCCTCTTCAGCACTTGCACCCCATAAGAAATTTCCTTTCTTCAAGAGTTGTGTTAAAGGTTGAGCTATTGTTCCAAACCCCTTGATGAATTTTCGATAATATCCAGCTAGGCCTAAAAATCCTCTCAATCCTTTGAGTGTCTGAGGTGTTGGCCAATCTGTAATTGCTTGAATTTTTTTAGGGTCCACACTAACTCCTGTCTGAGACACAATGTGCCCCAAATATTCAACCTGTGTTTGTCCAAAACTATATTTGGACATCTTAGCAACCAACTGATGTGTCTTGAGGATCTGAAATACTTGTCTCAGATGAATCAAATGGTCCTGCCACCCTCTGCTGTATATTAGTATATCATCAAAGAAAACCAAAACAAATTTCCTGAGCATATCTTTGAAAATATTATTCATGAGGGCCTGGAATGTTGAAGGGGCATTGGTGAGTCCAAAAGGCATTACTAAGAACTCAAAATGCCCACTGTGAGTTCTAAAGGCAGTTTTGGGAATGTCTGAATCACACATTCTTATTTGATGATACCCTGACTTTAAATCCAGTTTTGTGAAGAACTGTGTCCCATGTAACTCATCCAATAACTCATCAATAATTGGAATAGGAAATTTGTCTTTAATTGTAGCTTTGTTAAGGGACGTATAATCAATACACATTCTCTAGCTCCCATCAGATTTTTTGACCATCACTACTGGTGAGGAGAAAGGGCTATGACTGTGTCTGATGATCCCTTTTTCCAGCATCTCTTCAATCTGTTTCTCAATTTCTTCTTTCAAGAAATGTGCATGCCTATAAGGTCTAATGCATACTGGTTTTGTTCTAGTTTCCAAGGGAATTTTATGATCAATCTCTCTAGCAGGAGGGAGATGTGGTAGTTCTTGGAATATAACATCAAACTCTTGTACCAAGCTGTTGATATCTGCAGGTAATTCTTCATGAATAGCTCCTGAAACAGGTTCTTGCAAATTTACACTGCATAATTGAATTAAGTATCCTTCTTTTTGCTCCCTAACAGACTTAGCAATATCTTTCTCACTAACCAATTGTAACTCTCCTGGTATTATTCCCTGTAGAGTTCTCTTTACTCCTTCACATAAGAATGTTACCTGCAACTTTTTGAAGTTCAAGGTGATATCTTCTAAGGTTTTCATCCAATCTGCCCCTAACACAATCTGACTACCTCCCAATGGCATCACTAACAGATTTACTTGAATGCTCACTCCTTGACAATCCAATGACACCCCTTGGCACACCCCATCTCCCTTAATTAACTCTCCACTTGCAACAAGAACATCAAAATTGCTATACTCTGTCACTGGTAATCCAAGTCTCTTAACTAACTTTGAATTGACGAAATTATGTGTAGAACCAGAATCAATCAGGATGCTGATGGCTTGATTCTTGTAATACCCCACAACTCTGATGGTATGGGAGGCTGTGATTCCACTAAGAGCTTGGACTGAGATAGAAGGAGCTCCTCTTACCAGACTTTCAGCCAATTCAATGGCCAGGTCTTCTTGATCATTGCACCCATGATCTTCTATCTCTTCCTCAGTTCCACATTCTAAGACTCCTTCTAAGATGAATATATGCTTACCTTTACCCTGATGTCCTCTGTGCCATTTTTCATGATTTTGACTCCTCTTCTTTTGTATGTCTTCAGGTGTAAGCTTCTTGAACTGAGGAAATTTTGATTTGTCTTGTACAGGCACTTCAGGAAGGGTACGATTATATGAATTTCCTTGATTAAAAACATTCCAATTCCCTTTACTTCTTTTTTCATTTCTTTGTTTGTCTTCAAATAGCTTGGCTAATGACACTGTTTCCTTCAAAGAAGAAGGTCTGCCAGCTGCAACCTCAAACCTAAGCTCATCCTTCAACCCTCCTATAAATCTCTCAAGGATGTGCCTTCTAGAGGGTTGATCCTCCAGTAACCCTAAGGTTTGTTCAAATTTCCCCAGGTACTCTCTAACAGTGGAAGTTTGTTTCATAGTTGAGAAAACATCATATGGCCTTGACAGTTCACTAGGGCCAAATCTTGTCATTAATTCCTCTTTAAAGACAGACCAATACTGATAATTATCAATATTTCTTGTAAGCCACCTATACCACTGTAAAGCCTCACCCCTTAGGTAAAAGGAACAGACCTTGACCCATTCATCTTCTTTAATATCATAATATTCAAAGATTTGTGCGGTTTGTTCTAACCAAGCGATAACATCCTCAGCCCCAGAAAAAGAGGGAAAATCCAAACGCAAAGACTTTGGTTGAACAAGTTTTTGATTACTAAAGAAGGAGTTTCTCTGAGTTGAGGAGTTACCAAAACTGCTAATAGATTGAAATTCTCCACTGAATTCAACATTTCTTCGATGTGGAGGAAGATATCCATTGCTTTGATCATTCCTGTTAGATTCCCCAGCTCCTGTCCTTGTTTTCTCTCTCCCTTCTCTTGAGCCAGTTCCCAGAGTTCCTTGGTCTGGACTCTTGAGGTTCTTGATCTCTTGCATAATAATCTCCATTTTTGAAGATAGTTGGAGCTGGAGATCATCCATCCTTGCTGAGAGTTTCTGGTTGAATGATTCCTGTTGATTGCAGAAGGAACTATTTCGAAGGACAGCATCTTCTAATCGAGCAATTTTCTCCTCTGAAACAATATCTTCAGCATCCGCTCCTTCCTGATCATCCAAGAATTCATCAGCACCAGCTTCAGCTTCCTGCTGCTCTGATACCAATTGAGAGGATCGTGCACCCCGATTAGACCTCAAGTTGTTATTTCTTGCCATGACCGAAATAATCAAGACTTGAAACAGGGAAATAAGTGAGAATTGTAACAATGGAGGAAGAGAGGAGTTAGGAAAAAGAAGAACAGAGCTCAGAGTTTAGGAGAAAGAAAAATTCTCATTCATTTCATATCATTACAGTTTTCTTTCTCCCCTTTTATATCCGCTCAAGACAAAAGAAATACAAAAACGTGCACAAAACGTGCACGGTTGTAACCAACTAACAAACAACAGAATTAACCGTCTCTAACTGTTGTAACCAACTCCAACATTTATTACAATTGTCTGTTATTGTTTCTGAGCTAACAAATGTGCACAAGAGCCCTTCGAGTTGGAATCATTCCAGTTCTTCCCCAATGTGCACATTCTTCAGCCTCTATCTAATTCTCAGGTTCAATTTGAGTTCCTGTTGGCCAGCTTCCAATGCAATCCTCAACTGTTCCTGACAGCGAAGCCCTTCGACGGAGAGTCTGCGTGAGCTGGAGCGTAGGGAGAGAGAGAGCTCCGGTGAATCCCTTCGACAGGGGCGTCGGCGTCGGCAACAATGTCGCGAGAGGGAAGAGGGATGGTCTTCGACGCTCACGTCGGCGTCGGAGTTGGGGCTGCGGGAGGGTTTTGGGAGCGATTCTTCAATTTGGGGATCAGATAATTTTTGAGGGTTACGGGGGGAGAGAGAACTGGATGAATCTTTGCATGGCTTGGAAGTTCCAATCTGTAGGCAACTTCACCAATCTTTTCCAGCACTTTGTAAGGACCATAGTATTTTGGCGAAAGCTTATGAGTTTTGTAAGATGAGACACTGAGTTGTCTGTAAGGTTGTAGCTTAAGGAATACCCAATCTCCAACCTCAAAACTCCTGAAGCTTCTGTGTCTGTCAGCAAATCTTTTCATCTGTTCTGCTGCCTTCTTTAAACTATCTTTAAGAAAATTTAAAGCTACATCTCTAGAAAAAAGAGCTTCATCCACTGATTCAACTCTACAGCTTTTAGGAATATAAGAGAGTAATGAGGGAGGAGGTCTACCATACACAGCTTCAAAAGGGGTAGAATTTGTAGACACTCTCCAAGTAGTATTAAACCAGAATTCAGCCAATGGAAGCCATTTACACCACTCTTTAGGCTTATGGCAACAAAAACATCTCAAATAAGCTTCCAGGCTCTTGTTAGTTACCTCAGTTTGCCCATCCGTCTGAGGGTGATATGCTGAGCTGAATTTAAGCTTGCTCCCTTGCAGTTTGAACAACTCTTTCCAAAACAAACTAGTAAACAAGGGATCTCTGTCACTGATAATAGATCTAGGCATGCCATGAAGTTTGAACACTCCATCAAAAAATACCTTTGCAACAGATTGAGCAGTATAAGGATAGGTTAAAGCAAAGAAATGAGCATACTTTGATAGTCTATCAACCACCACAAATATAACTGACTGTGTATCACTCTTGGGCAGATGTGTGATGAAATCCATTGACAAGTCCTCCCACACATATTCTGGAATAGGTAGGGGTTGTAAAAGTCCTGGGGAAGCTACATTTTCCCCTTTTGCTCTCTGGCATACATCACAAGCCTGTACATAATTCTGAACATCCTTCCTCATGCCCTTCCAATAAAATACCCTCCTCAACCTGTGTAAGGTTCTGGCAATACCAGAATGTCCAGCAGTAGGAGTGTCATGATGCTCTTGTAATAAGGAGTTCTTTGTGCAGTGGGACTAACCAAAATTTTACCTTTGTAGTAGTAAATCCCTTCCCTTGTAAGATATTCTCCAGTAGCTTCTGATTCTTGTTGTAGTCTTAACTCTAGCTCTTTGTAGAAAGGGTCAGTCAGATTCATTTGTTTGATATCTTCTAACCAGTTACTCCTGACAAAAGAAATTGCTGAAACTTCTGCATCATCCTCAACATCCTCATATACCCTTGATAATCCATCAGCAGCTTTGTTCATCCTCCCAGGTTTGTATTCCACAGTATAATCATATCCATGCAACTTGGCCAACCATTTGTTTTGAATACCTGTATGTATTCTTTGTTCAAGAATATACTTGAGACTTTGGTGATCAGTCCTTATCACAAAACTCCTTCCCAACAAGTATTGTTGCCATCTCTTTGTAGAAAGAATTATAGCTAACAGTTCTTTTTCATAGGTTGATAGAGTAGCATTCTTTCCCTTTAAAGCAAAGCTGAAATATGCAATGGGTTTTTCTCTTTGCATTAATACTGCCCCAACTCCTGTACCTGATGCATCACATTCTATGACAAAATTGATATTAAAATCAGGCATAGCCAAAACTGGAGAATTGGTGAGGGCAATTTTAAGAGAATTGAAAGCTTCTTCAGCATTTGCACTCCACAGGAAATTTCCTTTCTTCAAAAGTTGTGTTAAGGGTTGAGCTATGGTTCTAAACCCCTTAATGAATTTTTGGTAATATCCAGCTAGGCCTAAAAATCCTCTCAACCCTTTGAGTGTCTGAGGTGTTGGCCAGTCTTTAATTGCTTGAATTTTATTAGGGTCCACACTAACCCCTGTCCGAGACACAATATGCCCCAAATATTCAACTTGTTTTTGTCCAAAACTAAACTTGGACATCTTAGCAACCAACTGATTGGTCTTAAGGATCTAAAATACTTGTCTCAGATGAATCAAATGGTCCTGCCACCCTCTACTCTATATTAGTATGTCATCAAAGAAAACCAAGACAAATTTCCTGAGAATACTTCTGAAAATATTGTTCATGAGGGCCTGGAATATTGAAGGGGCATTGGTGAGTCCAAAAGGCATTACTAAGAACTCAAAATGCCCACTGTGTGTTCTAAAGGCAGTTTTGGGAATGTCTGAATCACACATTCTTATTTGATGATACCCTGATTTTAAATCCAGTTTTGTGAAGAACTGTGTCCCATGTAATTCATCCAGCAACTCATCAATAATTGGGATAGGAAATTTGTCTTTAATTGTAGCTTTGTTAAGGGACCTATAATCAATGCACATTCTCCAACTCCCATCAGATTTTTTTACCATCACTACTGGTGAGGAGAAAGGACTATGACTGTGTCTGATAATCCCTTTTTCCAGCATCTCTTCAATCTGTTTCTCAATTTCTTCTTTCAAGAAATGTGCATGCCTATAAGGTCTAATGCACACTGGTTTTGTTCGAAAGACTGATAAAATATCACCAAAGAGTAAAGAGTGAAAAAAATACTTATATATATATATATATATAGTTATATTTGTATATATAGTCTTGAAATTTTATTTTGATTAACAGACTTGAAAATTATTTAAAACAAAAAGTTAGCATGTTCTTTTCAAATCTTTTAATTAAATTTGTAAGTTTGACTTGGTTTTATATAGCTATAATGAAAAGGTTTTCTAGAAGATTTACCTTAGAGTTATATATAAAAACATTTTTTTGAGTAATAACTAGCTTCAAGTAGAATGTTTAAATATATTAAGTAAATTTATTATTCACTAACTTCTTTGAATTGGCAAAATAATTGAATTTTGTGGGTATATTTACTGCAAACCCTCACAAGACTACAACTCGTCCTCTAGGGTAACATAGGGGTTTAAATGTTTGTTGTATGCACTAAATACAACCGCGATTCCTACGAAAGTGAGTTAAGATTTTTTTTATCTTCTTTCTTTTTGCTAGAGGACTAGCAAAGGTTTAGGTATGGGGTATTTGATAATCATATTTTTATTATAATTTTATATCCTCATTATCTATTTTACATGAATAAATATACCAATAATAATTATTTTTACCTTAAATTTTAGGTTAATAAAGAAATATTGAATAAAAGCCCAAGATCTCAACTCTCAACAAAGCCCAACAAAAGAATTGTCCAAGGCTACCTATCGATATCGCTTTCGATACTGCTATCGATACCGCTATCGATAGTGGTATCGATACGGGTATCGATACCGCTATCGATATGTGTTTACTATAGCGGAATTAAGGGCTGAAATAGATTAGCTTGGGGATCAAATTTAATCCTAAGGCTCTCATTCATTGTTGCAGTCTATAAATAGGGGTAGAGAGTGAGGGTTGAGGGTGTAAAAAATTTTATAACTCCATTTAGAGAGGAGGGTTGCTCTTAATTGAGAAGACCTTCCAAATTTATAACTTTTGTTGTAATTAATAAAAGATTTTTTTTTATCTCTTCATATTTTTCTTCTCTTTATTTGATGACGATAAAGGTGAAGATGAAAATAAAGATCAATTTGAAGGTTCGCTTTCATGAGGCTACCCCTCTTGTATTGTGAATTTCCTTAGTAATTTCTTTTCTTCTTGCTTAGTAGTTTAAATTTACATTAATGCATTGTAGAGTAGATTTATTTTCTTGTCTTTATTTTATTTTACACTTTTAATTTGTAGAGTAGATTTATTTCTCTCACATAATCTAGATTTTTATTTATGTTCTTTTCTTTTACAATTTAGTTAGATTTATTTCTATGTTCACAGTGTAAATTTCTTTGTTCTCATTTCTCTTCTTTGTAATTAGTTTTTATCTTCATTCTTTCCTTTTATTTCAATTCTTGTTGTTATTTCTTAAGATGTGGAACTATTTCTTGTAAGAAATCTAGAATTGTATGAAACTAGTCAAATTTCTTTTATAATATGTGAATTATTCTCTTGCACTTAAAATGATCATATGTAAGATAATCAACTAGAGAACTAATTGGTAGAATAAGAATTTGATAATCTATATTTATCTTGAGTGGTTTGATAGGTTATACTTATGAATTCTAGAATTATTGTCTAGTTATTGTTCTTTTCATGAATATTAATTTTGTTTAGATGATAATTTGATAGGTTATACTTTTCTTAATTGGTTTGATAGTCTATGCTTAATAAATCTAAAGTAAAATATCATACAAAGAGAATGGTTTATAATTTATAATTAAAATTAGCTAGTGGATTCAATTCTAGATTCCTCATATTTTTAATTGAATCCTCCATCTTTACTTTCTTGAATTTTCTTTTTATTTTTGCTTTTTCATTAT